AGGAAAGGAAAGGAAAGGAAAGGAAAGGAAAGGAAAGGAAAGGAAAGCCTAATGCTTGTCTTTAGGCTGATTTCCCCACAAAATAGGAAACTTATCACTAACTTTGGTGAGGTAATATTAGGTTTATGAAATCCCACCCAAAAATTAATGAGTGCCCCATGAATTATCCTAAGTTTCCAGTAATGATGCTATAGTACTTCTCTCCTGTCTGGTCAAAACCCTTTGAAATATTTCCATTCACTTCATTGTCTTTGGATCAGGCTTTTTTCATGTTATGAGCTGTTCAGGACACCAGCACTGCATCAGAATGCGAGTAAGAAGATGTCTTCATTTAAAGGCAAAGTATGTGACAAAAGAAGCCTGTGTGATCCTCGCTCCTGTCACATTGCTTGCCACATGTCTCTTGCGACAGTGATAAAGAAGGTGGAAATGAGGAAGAGAATCAGTGGCTTCTTAGGCCCAAAGGTAGATCATAGCCAACCCTGGGACCAAACAGCTATCAGGCAGAAAAGCCTACTGCCAAGCGTGGCAAGAATGACCCCAACAACAATAACTCTAGAAAATATTTTTTAAAAGTCTAATCAATACCAATTATTTTTTGCTGCTTCAATAATATGTTTCTTCTGAGTCTCACATTGTAAATAATACAAATTAAGGAATTAACTCTTCAAAACAAAACAAACAAACGACAAGAACAACAACAACAAAAAACCACTGAATGATCTATGCATTATTAAGTCAGTTTGAAAACTCAAATTCCAGTATTCCAATAGTTGGGTCATAAACTTGTATTTTGGAATTTTAACAAATAGGAGCACTTTCGAAAGGGATTGGATTCTCAACTCCAACTGAGAAGTACTTATGTTTATATGGATACAACTTGCAAGAGGTGGTTTAAAAAAAAAACCATAGTGTGGAAAATATCATGAAATGACACAGTTTGCAGAAAGTTATTCTTCTGTGCACTGAACTGGGTCACATATTCAATACATCTCAGTTGAGTGCCTGCTTGGAACTTGCCAGCCCCATGCACTGTCTCTCTCAAGCGGGACTTGGGCTGGCAGAAGAGATGACTAAACTGAAGTGAGATTTTAGCAGCATGGTAGTATGCTCAATATCTGCATACAAATTAATTTGTTACTAGCTTTTTAATGGCACAACTGAAAATATTGTGATCCCTTACTCTAAGAGTTCATTTGTCTCTTTCCTTTGTACAACGTATAGTATTCCAATTTTCATATGATTCTCCAAAGAAGACAACTTATTTAAATTATCTCAATTTCTATGCTCTGCTAGCACTAGACTATTGAGAACAGGTGGCTCTGGAAATTGCTAATGCAATTCCAACCACTTCCCGTGTGGAATGCCAGCCTGTACTTGGGCAAATGTAGTTTACAATCAAGAATTACTACCCATGGTCATTTACTATTCTATCTGAAATGAGTTGGTGACCTCAGTCCAGTTCCTATTGCAGGCAGGTGTGCACAGTACCTCTGCCACCATCACAGTTGGCAATAAATGTTCATTGTTTGCAGTTTCAGCAGGGAAGCCAAGCTTCCAAAAAGCCAATAAGCTTTCTGATAGAGGTGCTGTCTTGAGACTGGAGGTGGCCTTCTCAAAAAAAAAATACAATATCATGTCAGAATAAGGTCAGCAGAGGTTAGTGGAACCACCAAATAATCTGTCTCTCTTCAGTGAATGAGACAACTTCTGTTCAGGAGTTGGTGAATATTGGTTTTATGAGTATTTGGTTTGCTTCACTTTCCTTTGCTTTTCTTAGAAAACTATAAGACACCTCGGTCAAAGGAGAAATCAAAAAGCAGAGCATTCTGGAGAGATATTCAGTCTGAGGCTAGAGTGGGTAAAGGTCATAAATATAAATACCCAGCTCTGTAGGCTGTATAGGTGCAGAAGAAAATTTCTTTTGTCTATCCTGATGAGGAAAAAGATATATTTTATGTCCATGTCTGATCTCAGCATGAATTCTCACATTAAAAGGTGTTGTGGAACAGCTGAATTCTAGGACTTCAAACCTCTTGCTTAGTGCAGAATAAGGCTTCAATCATTCATGGCCCATGCTGACAGGTACAATGTGGATCTAACCTGTTCTAGAATTAGATATGGATGTTGGTGGTCCTTGAGACCCCTTCCAACCCAACCCATTCTATGATTCTATGATTAGAAAGGGTTGGAAGAGGGGTTAGACTAGGAAGAGTCCTGAAAGCTCAAGAATATTGTTCCTGATGCTCTAAGGAGGAGCTGCAAGCATAGACAGCCTCCTATCCACTCTAATCATTTCTTCAGCAGGAAGAAAATCAGAAACAGTCAGCTGGGCTTCCAGGATCCTCTCAAAGCAGAAGAAATGGCTGTTCTCTGGCCTTTAGTTTGCTTTAGGAAACTTATTGTTTGAACTGTGTCCTGGGATTTGGATCAGTGATAAGCAAACTATGAAATAAATGTGAATTTGTATGCTTCCGCATGAAAGTATGAAAGTTGAGCCCACACTGTCATTTTTTCCATCACTAATCAACTGAAACAAGTAACACAGAAGCAAATATCTCTGCTCTCAGAAGACCTCTAGCAGTAGTTTCCCCACTCTCAGCAGTGCTGTGGACACCTTTTTTCTTGGCTTGAGAAGGTAAACTGCATGACCTGTTGGCTAGATATTTCCTTTGGAATACCAGAGTTTTAATGTATGCTCAGTCAAGACCGGAAAAGGATGATAGCTCTGTACATAAATACTCTGTCATACTATGTAGCTTAACATGTGATTAGTAAATTCACCAGAAGAATCATGAATGGGTGAAACACTGAGGAAAAATAAATTACAAATGAGATCTGCAGGCAGAACAGAACTCAGCATTTGATTTTGCAGGTGCAATCAAAGTGTCTTTGTGAGTACAATTAATTACACTTACGTATTCAGAAGCGATTAAATAAACCAAGCCAATCTGTCACTGATGAAGTCTACCTACACAACGTGCTTGTTAACATTCCTGATATAGATAAATGGGGATAAATCAGAGATGCTCAGAATGGATCTACAAAGATGCCCAGGAATATTGCTTTGTACCTACGCAGAACAGACAGGTGATCATCTACACAGAACAGACTAACAGCAAGTTTATTAAAAAAAGCTGAAGCTGCAAAGTGAAGACACTTTGCAACTCAGCAGAATTTAGAACTGCATTAGGAAGTTAATTGTTTAAGAATTGCTTATTTAGCCCAAAGAAAATTTAGAACATTTCTGCCATCATTTTTTTCTTCTTTTTCTTTTTTTCTTCATAGATGCAAATACTGAAGTTTCTTTTTACTTTTCTCCAGTTGGGAAAAAAAAAAAAGAAAATTGCAGAAACAGTGCAGCTGTCATAATACTGTGAACACAGCCATGAAGAGTGACTCACAGCATAAACAAGGTGAACTTCATCTTTAATTTCAGTTCTCCCTGCAGACTGTTTTCATCTCTCACCACTAGCTGTGGTGGTCTAGCTGCAGTATCTCAGGAGATGGGGCATCCAGGTCCCAAAACACTTTCTTTGGTTGAAAAATGAAAGAGAGAGGAAATGTAATTTTCCACTATGTACACAAATCCAAGTGTTGGTAAATTGAATCAGCACTGCTTCAACAATAAGCAGTCCTCAGGCTGGGCTCACAGGCACTGTTTACCCAATCAGATACTATATAATCTTTAACCACCATCTTACATGGTCCTTGAGTGCATCTCTGATATTATAGACCGCTTACCCACTGTCAGGTCGTCATCCTCCTTTACTGCTGATCCTTACCTGCTGAGCAAAGTATCCACGTGGAGAGACAAGGAGCTTATGTTTTAAAATTGTACCTGGAATATTATTCTCCAGAAATTCAAATGCAGACTACTGCCTGACACTTTATTACTGGGGATTTTCTCCTCCATTCACTACTTGAAAACTCTTCAGTTTGTAGCAGCTGTCTTAGCTGCATGTAACCTTCAATGGAGTAATGAAGACAATAATAACCCCTCAAGTAGATCTGCTATTACCTGTCTCTTCCCAGAACGATCAAAGCAGAATCTTCTTCTCTAGTCCTACTACTACTCTTCCTATGCTTCTGTCACACTGAGAATGTAACACACATGAAGCATCGAGACCTCTCTCCTGTTCAGAGAAGATTTTGCCCCTCTTTATGATCAAAGGACAGGAGATTTAAGGGCTGCCTGCTCAGACAAGTACTGGCTCTGACCAAATTCGCTTAGAGCTCACTGAAGGCAGAGAGGCACAATGCTAGAAACAATGAAGAAGAGGATGCATAAAAGTCCTCATGTCATAATTATCTATTTGCATGGAATGGCTGTAGGCATCCAGTCTTTCCCAAATATGGAATTTGATGCCTAAATCTGGGAGATCTTAAAAAAAATCTAGAGAGGAATGCTCACTGGCTTCCATCCTCTAATTAACTAGCTCCCCAGGGGCAATAAAGTTTTTAACTACTGGGAGCAATATCAATTGTTTTTAATCAAATCTACCAAAATAATGCTTTGCAGTGAGGGTTATACTGCAGAACGAGATACAGCTAGATGTTTTAGGGATGTTTAAACACCAGAAAAAATTCTCCTGTTTCTCTGCTCCGTCTTAGAAAAGGTCAGAGGGAAATTATCTTTTCTCCCTGAATAATGCTGGGCTTGTAATCCACACAACAGAGAGGATGTGCTTATTAAAGAAGAAACGCATGCAAGGCACACTCCAGGGAAAAGTCTCCCATTAGGCTGTGCTGTAGAGATATTAAGCAATGTGAAAACTTCTCATGTGAGAAGACGTAATTTGGCAGGAATCTCATCCCACAACTGTGGGATCATTCACAACTGTGAAGGGATTTGTTTCATACTCTCATTCCTCCTTCAGTCCCAGTGACCCTTCCAAAGATTTTACTATAATCCCCTTAGTCCGTGGTGAACGACATGTTACATGTTTAACAGGGGAACGTAGTGTTGTCCTCTTCCCAAAGAGTATAGGTAGAGGTTTCATGTAGAGGAATATGTTACAGAGTTGTCTTGTATTTTTTTTTTTAATAGTTTATTTTAAAATGTAGTTTCCAGATTAGGAAGGCCATGTTTTGCCATTTGCACAGCAATAGCCCAGGTCTTCTACTAAAATTCCAGAGATCAACCTGCCATTGTCTGTTGTTTTGATAACAACAGAGTACGAATAAAAATACAAATTTTTAAAAATAAACAGTAATAAAACATTTTCCTGGTACTGCTTACCCGCTAAGTACACCGAGAACCAAGTTAAGTACAAAAAATGACCCTATGATGATTAGTGTAACAAAATAGATCCAGGGCCAGTCCCTTCCTATGGCATCATTGACCTGGAAGAGTGGAATGATAATTAGTGAGACAAGCTCAGTGTCTGAGCACTGCAAGGCTCCAGCCAAAGAGATCCCAAGTCACCAGCAGTAAGATTTTCAATAATCGATTTTCTGGAAATTTATGGAAGGGCAGTAGTAGTGATTTTGGAAGTCCCGATATTGAATTTCTGTCAGAGAAACACACCTCTTTTGTTACCTGTATTGTTATTTGCAAAGTTTAAATATTTAGCCAAGATTTTTGAGGGCTGATGTGAAAGCTTCCTTGGATTCAGATTTTTAATCCATCCAAAAGAATCCTGGTGACAGGGAAGAACCCTTCTTATGGAGTCTTGCCCTGTAGCATTGGAAAAAGGACACCAAAACTGTCAGCTTACCCGCTCAACACACCAAGTACCAGATTTAGAACGAAAAAGGATCCAAAGATGACCAGACTGACAAAATACACCCATGGTAACTCATAGCCCATAGCGTCCTGCATCTGGAAAGATGAAGGAAAGTTAGAAGACAGAGAGGGAAAGCAGAAATGAATAAGCAAAGGAACAGATAGAAAGGTTTGTAAATAGAGCCTGTGGTTGATTTATACATGATCATAGCAAGTGTTTCTGTACGTTCTTTCTGGTGCAACCTTTCCTTTAATTGCTTTTTTCTTCTGGCTGTTTCCTTACAGGCAATGATTAATATAGGCTGATGTCTAGTATGATTGAAGTTGTAGACTATCACTTTCTGGAATTTACCCAGAGCACTGCATGGGCCCAACTGACAACCTCTGAGCTTCTGTTCTAACTTCTGTGCGTATGTTTTCTGCCCATGACAATACTGTTAATTTTTGCTAAGCATTGCCTGAGTGTGTTATCAGATCACATTTTTTCCCATCTGTAGCACAGGTATGCACACTTTAGAGAGAAGCACGTGGTAACTGTGGATAAATATTGATCTTTCCCTGGCAACAATTGTGTAATCTTTACAGTTTACCACAATCAGAGTAGTAGTTGTATGCTTTTGAGTAAAAGTCCTTCCAAGGCCCAACGTGTTCTAACCTGGTCAAATGTTTTCTAAAGTTTTCTTGCAAACTTTCTTTCTTTGATTCATGAATACCTCTTTCAAAATCTGACTACTACACAACTGAGTACTCAAACAATTTGAGACTGTAAATTAAATGGTGTGAACATAAATATAGTTTTAATACTACTACAAGCATCTGCAAATGAAGCAGGAAGACTGTTATTTTAGTACTTGGGCCTGTATTATGTGTAGAGCAACTCTAGCATGCAAGATACTTATGCTAAAAGCATGTAGTGTATAAACATCATTTTATCTTGAAGTCTCCTCTGAAGTTCAAAATTTTGGAGAGTTGCTAGATACCTTCATAGAACTGCATTTTCATGATGGTATCAAAATAACAGAGTCCCTTCTTCTTTACTTTTCATAAATGCTTATCTCCTGAGTCAGAAATAGCATCATTAGAGAAACAGATGGCACTTAACATATTTAGTAGCACTAAAATGATTTCTGAACTTAAATTGCAAACTTTAAAGTACCTAAACAGCTTAAAAAAATATAGGTTCTTTTGTTCTCCATGTGTTTAAAAGTTTTATCATGATTTGTACTCTCCTTCTAGGAAAATGCTCTCTCCTTTGCAACCTAAGCATTTGTTGTGATCACAGAAGAAATATTCTTCCATACATGGACACTGAGACACACATTAGGGAGGCAATCTGACTCAAGATTCGTAACAATTCAGGAAAAGGATTTCAGACCTTCAATAAGACAAGGCAGGAGAGTAACACTAATATAATCAGTTCTTTGTGGGTGGAAGTTCATCATTCATTTTCCTTTTAAAGTACAGTCATTAAAGTCCTCGTCTGGCAACAGTCCACAGTCAATGGGCCAATCTAAACTCCGTCTCAGGGCTCCCTCAGCTGCAACTTAACTGAAGGAAACTCATTAAAACATAGCCTCAAAATCTGTCTCTGTGGAAAGAGATCATCATCTCCTTCAGAGGACTAATAGATTTGTGGTCAGAACACCTCCTTTCAGAAGTCTAGGTGTCTTTCTAACACTAAGCATATTACCCAGTTTCCCTTTGAATACTTTTGTACAATTGCTCAGTTAGTTTGGAAGTATCACTAACTATTCCTTATGCTTGCAAGCCACTTTTCATCACACTTAACCAAAAAGTAGACACCTCTGCCGTGACACACAGCAATGCCTCAAAGAGAACAAAATACCATGGTACAAACATTCACCCAAAATCACAGCTAAGAAATCATACAGGCAAAATGTAAGCACCTAATCTGGACTTAGGTCAAGAAATGAGACTTAACATCCTCTTCCTTCTACCAAGAATGCCACACAAACAATAGTTATGAATGACTTTTAGAAATTGCCATAAGAATTTACACAGTCACAATGATGATTTGACTACTCTTTAATTATGATGGATGGCGATAAAAAAGCCTCAGCTATGTGGCATTTATCTCTTGTCCACATTTTCCTTCAGCTGGAAAAGTCAGCTGGAAAAATACAACTTCTCAAAGCTGTGATTTGACTGAATCCTAAATAACAAATATCAGAATTTCTGGTAGAGAATGGAAGGGCTTGTCCCTTTGTACTACTCCAGCATGAAGAAATTTCCAGATAGCAAGAAGCTTCCTTTGCAACCAATACGGTATATAGCTACAGTATAGCGTACTCTGGCTATTCCCACTGCCTGCACAGCTGCATGTTTATATCAGCTAGCATTGGTACAAATTAGTCTTGAAAAGCAGATCTGTGTCCTAGTATAGAAGAGCATTTTGGACTTCTCAAACGGAACATTTACGGAGTCTGTTTTTCACCTCCTTTTTACTGACCAGCCATGATAGATAAGCTAAGAGGCAGAGACAGTGGTATCTTAGAGAAATCACCAGTATTTGGCAGACTGTTGTGTGTTTACTGTCTCTTACTTGCTGGACTCCGTAAGTTGGATGCTCTCACATCTAATTTTTTACAGCAGAAGGTGAGATCATTCCATATAATGTGAGACTGAGACACAGGTGGTAGGAACTGATACACTGATGTGTTATCAGGTATTTGGTAAGTCAATAATAATCTTCGACACTGTGACAATGCACTGTAAGTTTACTATTTCCTCTAGAAAAGCTTCTCCAAAAGAAATGAAGAGATATAAGGATGCTTGGAAGAAGTTGGGGGAAAAAGGAACACACTTACTGAAAATAGTAACATATCAACATTTAAGAAACATTAAATTCTTGGCTAAGATTGTATCATTTCAGATACCTGGAAATACTTCCTCTGAAGTGGAACCATCCTAGAAATCCATGATAGACATCCCTCAAATGAACAATGCTTCCATTCAGTTACCATTAAAAACCTCACATCTGTGTTTGATTAAAAATGCTTTCTGGAGACATATCATAATTCTGTAAATACATAGTTATTAATCACATGTGTATGTGTACACGTGTCCTTTTGATTGCAGCTGGAGGCTTTCATGGTAAACATAGCATAGGTGATACAGTTGATTTTTCCTAATTATGCTGCTGAAATGGAGAAACTGCACAAGTTTCTTTCAAGTTTCTAAGGCTGAGATTAGGAGATTTGTCATTTACACACTAATGAGTGCAGATCAGGTTTGCAGAATATTTTTTTGAGTTTTCTTGTCTACAATCAACAGAAAAGGGATCTCTTACAAGTTACCTCTAGGGCAGACAGCACAAGCATTGATACACAGCTTAGCTCTTTGGTCACTGAGTGCTCTTTTTCTCTGTTTACTTCTCACTGGGGTGTTTACTATTAGCCATATGAATCACAAGAGAAACAATGGATCATCTACATTGACAGGTCTGAACAAAGGCTATCTGCCAGTATAGGTCTAAATGCCAATATTCCAGCTACAGTATTCAAGGTAATTGCAATCTGGTGTGAACTTCAGTATGTGTGGGACAATTCCTAAGTTAGCTGGAAGCACTGCATTGGTGTAAATCTACAGACGGTCATTTATAGCAGTAAGTCTGATAAGTTAAACTGTTTGACCTTTTACAGCTCACTTCTCCATCTTTATATCTCACTTCTGTCAACAGTAAGAAAGTTGATACAGTTCTGAATGCTGATGTGTCACCCCTTAGAGGCACCTCAGAAATTAGGGTCACAGATTCCTTCTCTTGATTCACTACATGCCCCCTCTAGAACTGTGGGGATGCCATTTTGGCTTACTATGTTTCAGATTTCTACTCTACAAAGTGTGATACTGCCTTGCCTCACTGGGTACTGTACAACAAAATTTCTTCATGTCAGCATTTAGGTGCAGAAGTTGACTGGCCTTGGTGTTACAGAAGCTGAATTAGGCTGAAACTCTGTCCCCTCAAGGAAGAAGTTTGCAAAAGAGACTCCTTACTTTCCATATGGCCTCTGGAGAACCCAGCTTAGTCCCTCAGGCCAGAATTATTTAGCTTTGCTCTGATCTCATACTGATGGGATTGGGATGAGAATCAGATTGCTGCAGTATACCTACTTTCTGGAACTGAAAGCAACAGGAGGTGTTTTTTCTCTAAATGGCAGCTATGACTTCCCTCTAACATCAACATTGTTTTGGCTAGTTTTTCTGTTTTGTAATGACAGCAAGGTCTATTATGGTCATTAATAATAGGTGTCAGATCTCAGCATAAATAAATGGAGCAACTGTCTGGTCATCCATGACACTTGTAATAAGAGGACACAGATTTACAGTCCCTGGAGACAAGATTTTGTCCTATTTTCTAAACAAGAACCAGAATTAAGGAGATTTTTACCTGCCATATGATCTCTATATTGATCTCTATTTTGGCTTTGATCTCTATTAGGCTAAAATATCTTTCTGGGGAATCACGGAATAATAGAATGGCTTGGATTGGAAGAGACCTTAAAGGTCATCCCAGTTCCAATCCCCTGCCATGGGCAAGGCTGCCACCCATCAGCTCAGGCTGTCCAAAGCCCCATCCAACCTGGCCTTCAAAACCTTC